ACTATCTTTGACATTAATTAGTCAGGATGATTAGCGATCTACTGTTTAACAAATAACAAATATTTTTACCCTAATGAAGTTTTATAGAAACACAAAAAAAAATATTTATGTTATAGTAAAATTGTATGATAAATAAATATAATATATAATATGCATATTATATGGGCTTTAATCAAAATATATTACTCAATTAATAAATATATTAAATATTATATTAAAAATGTAATTGTTAAATTTGATCCTTATCCTTTTTTAACTAGAATATTTCCTATTGAATAAGTTAAATACAAACACTGTTTCTGGATGAGACAATTAATTTTCTTAATTATAAATGTTTGTATAGTTGATTAAAAAACTTTGAGATGCATTTATGACAAGAATAATTGTTTTTTTTTTTTATCTGACATACCATGTAATTTAAATTTATATAATACGCCTATATTTTTGATTTTCTTTAAACAAATTTATTATATAATAAACAGTGTTGGTAATATTTGAGTAAGTATATAATATAAATAATTTAAATATATTTTACATAGATTAATCCATGTATCTCTAATAAATTAAACATCCAGTCATTTTTAATCATTGTTCCTATAATTGGTTGCCCAGTTCCAGAATGGGTTCCATATTGCTGATTTGTAAATATTGTTGAAGATAAGTTGTAGACAGTTTTTGGTTTGTATTTTTCCAAACTGGTAGATAATATGGCACTTTACATTAAAAGTATGTTTGATTTGTTTATCACACTGAATTCGAAATCCACATCATTTATGGATACCACATCTAATCCTCTAAACATAGTAAAATATTAATAATAATATATAATAATAACATAACATCATTGATTATAAATACTAGTATTTACTGTCAATAATAATATCTAAGGATCGGAAGTTCATAACTTTTTCATTTTTGTTAGAAACTTTTCATCGATGCTTTTCTAGCGAAAAATATGTTTTAAAATGTTGAAAAATTTTAAAGATAAATTTGTATTTTTATACAAAAATGATTGTATAACTGTTTATTAGTTCATAAACTTCCGAGCCTTATAAAAACAATTTACATCAATTAATAATGTATAGTAATTACGTTAATGGTTCATGGAATAACATCGCTTTTGAATGAAGTATCGATCCTATGGTAATAGACAGTCTTTGGCTCTCACTCACTGATAATTTTCCTTCCAAAATGTGTTATTTTTCTGAACAACTTAAAATCATCTAATAGCATATTGTTTGGACCTGAAAAACCAATTAAACATTATTACTGATTACAATATTATAAAACAGAAAATTAACAAACTTAAAAAAGTATATAGGTATCCTCAAATTGAAAAACGTATTTAATATTGTCATAATATTTACAGGTATGGAAAAACCTGTAAAAAAAAATGTGATAGGCTCTGATAGTGTAAAATTTTGTATTCATCCAGTAAAATAGAAAATAAAATGAAAAAAACCATGCAATATATGTTGTACATAAGACCGTGCAAGATTTAAGATAATATAGTAGGTAGATCGTAATACTCGGTATAGAGAAACTGTCTGTATTGCTATTGTCCCAGTGCGCTTAGTCCATCGTGTTAATAATAGCGTAACAAAATAGTGTTATTACAAAAGTTATGAACTAAGTACATATTTTATACTTTAGTGGTTCAAACATAAAAGTTGAACTTAACTCTTAGAAGAAAGAGCAAACAGTTTAAAGAAATATCATGTAAAATTTAAGCCATTCACCAGCGGTTATCCATATACTGTGTTTATCTTTGCGCCACAACATACTTAATTGTATAAACAACAAACTTCAAATGTCTATAACTTAGAAACCAAGTCATACCGCTAAAATTCTAATTTCACCATAGTTTTTTTATACAAAAAAAAAGTGGTGTCAATAAAAATATAGGTACACAGTTGACAAATGTACTATTTATATACCCATGGATTATCTTAAAAAAAAATAACAGGGAACTTATTCGACATCTCGACTCATTATTTACAGTGAATAGTCTAGTGATGGGAACTACCGAATAATGACTATCAAATAATTCGATAGTGTTACTGGAATGTTTTTAACGATTATTCGAATAATTTAATATTATTTGAATAAATCATTATTATTCGAATGATTTGATATTATTAATTTGAATAATTCGATTATTCAAATATTTGGGACAAATTAAGTTTAGCTCTCAAGCGATTTTTTTGGAATATTTTAATTTCAAAATGTATTTTTTTCATGCATTATTTGATGGTAAATTCAAACAGTTGTCAAAATTTCATTTGTCAGTTAAGGTCAAAAAAACTTTTTCCAAAAACCTTTATTTATTTACCTAGGTTTCAAAAAACAAATAGAAAAATTTTTATGAGCACGGTAAAACTCCAACAATCATGAACTTCATAAGGCTATAACTTAAAAACTAATAATTATCGCCAATTAATTTTTGCAACATCATTCATAACTGATACATAATATATTCCAAGATTTTCGAAAAAAAAAAAAAGTGGGCGCTAAACTTGATTTATTATTGGTTTTTTGTTGCTTATATTTTAATCTATTTATTCCAAACTAAAAAAAAAGGTTGGTTCTGATTTCACTATTAACTTCTTTGTGTTAGTTAGGACCGAATGAACAAAAATACCAAAAAATTGTATGGGAGCTATATTCCAAGTTCCAACCATTAATATTGTTTAATTAACCAAAAATTAAAGTTTTGTTCTTTTCAAAAAATATACTGATTCATAATAATAAAATTAGTAATAACTGACAAGTGATAAAGTTGTAGAAGATAGTAAAATAAATTATATTATAATCAGTAGTACAGATTATTTGAATTATTTTCAAAAAATATTTTATGGAGTCATGAATTTTATTATTTGATAGTACAAATTATTCGTTACTGCCCATCACTATTGAGTACACTAATCATATTCATAGGTATGATGTTGTAGTGTTTGCATGAATAAAATAAGTTGATTGGCTCACGATAAACATAATATTCATAAGAAAATACGGTCACAAATTTACAATAACATGTTCTGAAAATACAGTAAAGAAATCGAGAACTGAGAAAGCAGAAGTTGAGATTGGAGATACCTTACATACTCAAGAATTATAGATAATTAATTACATTTTTAACATTATAATACATTATTTCATTATTAATATTATAGGTAGGTAGTTTGATATAATAACTAATTAATAATAATAATATAAGCGTATATCATGATTATATTATATTATAATATAGTATAATATACTAAGTTGATAGATCTGTAGTTCTTAGCTATTACCTGTTGATAGGAGCAGTAAGTTACGTACTTATTACAGTAGCAGTTTAATTCTAGTCTAAAGTCTAGCGTAGTAGAGTTTGATTGTTGGACTATTGGAGCATTGTATATTGATTTTAAAACATTTAATGAATGCTGTATTCCTATCTCCAGACGTCTAATATACGCTTTTCGAAACATAACAGAAGCTTCTAAGCAACAAAGAAACTATAACCTTGGATGATAATGCAAATTAAAATATCCTAATTCTTCATACAAGAACAAAAATTGACTAAAGTCTAAAACTTAATCTATTCTATATTTCTATTTGTAAATACTGTAGCATGTCAATCACGGACTAAGATATACAGGACTGGACACGACAAGGTTGGAGGGTGTGGGGGGGTTGACTACGAAATGTTTTACAACAGGCAGTGTTCGGGGGGATATTTTCCTTTTAGCATTACTAGCGCCGTCTTAGTGGATACTTTTGGAACTAGATGACAATAATGTGATCTAGTTCCATAAGTATCCACTAAGACGGCGCTAGTAATGCTAAAAGGAAAATATCCCCCCGAACTCCGCCTGTTGTAAAACATTTCGTAACCACAATATTCATCTCGTGTCCAGTCCTGTATATCTTAGTCCGTGATGTCAATATTGATATCATAAACTCGTGCGAACTGATAGTCCATAGCGTTACCACATACCGTATTCCCGTGCAAACATTGAAACCGACGCCGCCGCCGATCACCGGCACCGCCTGCCGCCGATCACCACCATTTTGTGCGCCGTGTTGCGACCTTAGATCATATACTATGCGGCTGTCCAAAAACATAACACAGTAACTACGTTTGACAAAATTTTACAGGAGAGCAATATCAGTAAATACCAAAAGGCCGCTATCTATCTCATAAAATTTAAACCTGAAACCTCACTTATCAATGAATTAGGACCATTTTCTACATTTTTTGATATCAATAATTTGTCATTTTCTGTCTTTGTCAAGGAGTTAAGACAGTTACTTTGTTTTGATTTTGATAATGGAAGAGGATAAAATAGTATGATAAAATTAAAAACACAGCAATGGCTTTTACTGTGTTTTAATTTTGGTTTTCAAAACATAAATAAATTATATTAAATCTGAATAAATCTCTAATATTAAATTATAAGTGATATTTTAATTGTTTAATATGAGTTAATATTATATTAAGTAAATAACCATAACAAATATTATGTTAATATTTTGTTATAAGCAGTCTTTATTTATAACTGAAACATTTTAAAAGTATCACAATTAATTAATAAATTGACAGTGTTACATTTTGGCAGTCTTTGCAAATTTAAACAACAACTTATTTTCAATAAAAATATCATGAACATATTATAAACTTATTTAAGTATTGAAAAACACAGCTTTCAATTTTTTAATTTAGTATAAACAATAAATAACTCATAATCATAAAAGTATCACAATTAATAAATAAACTGACAGTGTTGCATTTTGGCAGTCTTTGTAAATTTAAACAACAACTTATTTTCAATAAAAATATCATGAACATATTATAAACTTATTTAAGTATTGAAAAACACAGCTTTCAATTTTTTAATTTAGTATAAGCAATAAATAACTAATAACCATAAAAATATAAAATACAAAATATTTATAAAATTATAATGTCTGTATATCAAACTAGTTACTACCTAAAACATTTTAAAAATTACTAATTATTAATGGCATTCATTAATGAAAGTATCAGACAAATCAATATTTTCAACCAAATCAGTTGAAGTCAACGAGACTGGAAGTTCAGTCCAAAATAGTTCTCTATTAGCTGGCATCAATGGGACTAATTTTTCAATTATATCTTTTTTTTTAGTTGGAGGTATTCCTCTGTTTTGTATAATTATGTCTGGCTCATAACTGGTGATGTTTTTTATGAATTTTTTTTGTAAAAAGTCCAGTTCCTGAAGAATTTCATTATCAAAGTCAGTTGAATAAAACATTGTAACAGAACCTCTTTTAAATTTAGCCATTACTATATCACCTAGTTTAAAATTTTTAAGTGGGTCAGATTTAATGTTCGTAGCTCTTTTTTTACTTGTCCATTGTCTGAATTTTTTCTGATCAATTATATCTAAATTCTGCCTGCTAGATTTAATTGTATTTTTTAGGTCATCATAATCGTAAATATTTCTAACTTTCCTTATTTTTGTTTCTATATTTCCATGTACTCCATCGGCAGACATATGAGTGTGACCTTTTGTTAAATATTTTATAGTTACACTTTCTACAGAATTATGATTGGAATTTAAAATACAAACTAATGCTGTAAATAGAATCCAATTCTTATTTTGACCTGTACAATTGTCACACCAAAATATAAAATCAATTGATTCACTAATTTTTTAACCTATAGTTAGTTAGGCTTAAAGTATTATAGTATACACTATAATATGTCTTGTGTATGGGTCTAAGACAACTTACTGTCTAGTCATATTATTGTCGAGTCTAGGCTAATTTTAGATCGACGAAAAAAAAAAGTAGTTACTGTGTTTTTAATTTGGAAAAATCCTTATCATAGAAAGTTGTTGGTAGTTACTGTCTTCTAAATTAAAAAATAATCATCAGAAATCAAGGAGAATAAGAAAATAATATTAAGCATTTCCCCCTGAATTGGATTTTGTAAAAACATCAATTTTGATAAGAGTGTCAGATACTGTGTTATGTTTTTGGACAGCCGTATGGATGGAGCCACTGCATATTATTTTGAAGCCGATATTAGCGACGAGTCACCGAATTAGGTGATCGATATGCGCATGCGCGAAACAACTCGTTTAATATTAATATTATAACTGTCCCCATCCCAGCCGAGTCACAGAATTAGGTGTTCGATATGCGCATGCGCAACGCAACCTCTCGCATATTTATCAGCTGGTGATTATAATATTAATATTAAACGAGTTGTTTCGCGCATGCGCATATCGATCACCTAATTCGGTGACTCGTCGCTAATATCGGCTTCAACTTTTTGTATTGCTATAATACGCAGTGGCTCCATCCATAGTATATGATCTAAGGTTGCGACCATAGATAAGAATATTATTATCAAAGGGCATAATATTATAAAACCATTTATGTGGTAACAACCAACAACTATAGCTGAATATGTATAACGAAATATATTTCCGCAATGACGGTTGATAACCCGCGCATTTTAGCATTTACCATTTGAGACTGGCAAGCGCCGAACTGTGGCTGTGGCGAACGCGACTCGAGTCTCCTTCTACGGCGGCCATCGCATCCGGCATCGACTCGTTAACCGACGACGTGCCGTTTACCGCCAACGGAACGATATCGATCTACTGCGACGTGTGTACTTTGCACTTATAAATAACAAACTTTTCAATTATTATTTCGGTCTGCCGCCAACCTACTGACAAATACGATCGATCGTCGGACGAGTTTGCCGCCGTCGCACGTACGTACAATATTGAAATTATTCGATCGGCGGCCGACGCGCAGTCCTCTCGGCTCTCACCCGCTCGTCGTTTCAGTCTCGCCGCGGTCGCGTCATCGGAATTTGTCGGCGTCGACGTCGTGACATGTTGAACGCCGTACGGACGCTCCACCGCCGCCGTTACTGCAGTGCCGAGCCGAACCGCCACCGGCGCGCAACCGCCGACATTTTTGGTCTCCCCGTGTGATAGCGAAGCGAGTCCGAGTGATTATTTTTTTCGTCGCGATACCCTCTCAGCGGTCGACCGGAGAAGTGAGAACCCGAGACTCGCGTTCGTTTCGTGTAACATTTCTGTCCCGATAGTTCGGCGTCACCACAATGGCGTTCAACAACTCCGCTCCAGTGTTCGTCGAAGGAAACGCGACCAGCGCCTCGAACAGACACACATGCAAAATGCGAAATAAAAGAATGTGGAAGTCTTTGCGCTCGCACATCTTGTCACGTCGAGAAAAGATCAAACAAGGTACGTTTCCGTTTTTAACATCCCTCGTTGTCGATTTAATGTCCCCACACACATAACACAATATATACAATTAAAATTATACATTTCGTGAATTAATTACATCGATGAACATGTACGGCAGGATTCAAGTTATTGTTATGGTTCAATCGTTTACCTACCTATTTCAATATTCTCAAAATTCTTGAATGATTTTATATTTATTATTTTTTTACTATTATTACTTAATCACTCTAATATCCGAGCAAACATCACTATTCCTACCGGATATTAAATATCCCTAGTTGACTACTAGTGATTTCTCTTCATCTAATATTAAATTTTTATTAGGTACTAAGATAATATTAGAAATACAGTACAGTACCTACCTATAAATTAATTTTAGCTTTTAATATTTTCTCGTTTTTAATTTGTAGTTAAATGTTAATTGTTAGCCTCGTTGTTAGCAGAAATTAGTTCTTAGTATTTATAGCACTTAAAGTCGACAAAAAGAGATTAATAATAGTTTAAAGTAAAATATAACATAAAATAGTAAGTTATACGACTCCTAGCAATGATGAAATAGGAATGCAATTGCAGGACAATATTTAATGAACTAGATTCTATAAAAGTTTTTAGAATCTAAAGGAAAAGCTTGGTAAAGAATTTTTGTTGAGTAAATGGTCAGGTGATATTGCAATCTGAGAACCGGACAAAAAGAGACCAAGCAACGATGCAACGATGGTCCTACAATGCCTAGAATTATCCAAAATAAATTAAAAGATTGGTTTTATTTTATTATTTATGAACAAATAATTGATCGGCATTAGAAGTAATAATAAACAACCAACAAAATAAATTCTTTGTTGGTATCTTTCAGTGATTGTCAAATTAAAAAAATTAGCTGTTTTAAAATATAACATTAATTATAGGTTGGATAATAATTATAATATAATATATAAGTGGTTTTTTATTCATCAACAGATGAAGCTGATGCTGAACTTTTGAGAAAAAAGAAATATGCAGAAGATCTAAGAATACAAGAAAATAAATTATCATTAGCACAAATTAATGGTCGTTTGTCAGAATTACGAGATAAGCGTGATGAACTTGAAGAAGAAAAACGTGAATTGCTGAATCAGAACCAAACTATTATAAATACAGTTATAGCAGTGCCTGAGCCTAAGTGGTATATTTATACTATCAAATGTATATTTTTGTAAATTGATTATTAGGTATTATTAATCTATTATTCTGTAGGTCATATATTTATTTTTTTTGTTTTTCAGTGCAAACTATGATCGTAAATTAGTGACAAAAATCAAATTTAAAAGTAGTATAGTTTCAAGTATTGCTTTTCTCCATCATCATCAAGAACAACAACAACATGTAGACATGCTGGCAAATACACCTTGTATGAAAATTCCACCTCCTAAATTATTGGAAGAGTTAAGTCCAATATCGGAATCTGTGGTAATACCTACAGATGTCAAAGAGACGACTAGCGAAGCAAATTATTGGATTATACATCAACCAAATTAATTTTATGTCATAAATAATTACTGAAAGATAAAAATTTAAAAAAATGTTTGCCACTGTATTGCAGTAGTCCATTTTATTATAAATGGTAATCTTAATACATTGTTTTAAACTTTTTTTTTTGCATTATAACTTGTGACTTGTTTCCTTTTTATTTATCTAACTTTTTTTTTACGGTATTAAAAACTGCTGTTAGTATTTTAAATTATGTTACAATCAACAGATGGTCAATTTCAACTTATTAAACTTCCTCTTTTATTATTTATAATAGATATTCCACAGTTAATATTAATGTAATTTTATAGTTTAATTAAAATTTAATTTGTGAAGTTTTAATATATATTATTTTTAAAGCCAAAATAATAATATATTGGTTAATTTCCATTACTATAAATTACTACCCTAGCTTTTTTTAACTATTAATTTATTAAGTTCTTCAATTTGTCCAGCAATATTGCATTTTTATTATTTAAGTTTAAACTATGATTTACGATCATCTGAATTTGTATTCTTTTTAACAAGGTAGTCAAACAGATGTCAAATGATAAATCATAAGTAATATTTTTGTATACATATTGTTATTAAATATAAGATTACTATAAGTCATTCATTAGAATGGTCATCATTAATTAGTGTTATAGACTGATATTATAAAAACATTTAATTTACAAAATATTAATTTTTAATAAAAATGTTCTTAAAAGAAATACAAAAAAAAACTGTTACATTTTTATATAAAATCAATTTAAAAGGTTTATTTGGTATTTTGTATTTATTTTTAAATGCTACCTATAAATTAATAAATTATACTAAACGGTTTTCTACAGTCTACTATTTATGTTTTTAGCTTTAGGATGTTATGGATAACATTTTTTAACTCAATTTAGCACATTGTAGAATTAGACTAAAAATTGTAAAATATATTTTTTATTAATTATAATATTGGCCTGCTCCTCCCCCCCCCTCCCTTCTGGCCTTTATTATCTTTAACATTAATGTCATGTTCTGTCCTATTACATATTTTAATGAAATTCATAATAAAACATTGATAAATATTAATAAAAAGTTAATTGTGAAAAGATCAAAAGATACTACCTTAATAATATGTTGTAACTATAAAGAGAAGTTGTTTATAAAAACTGTTGTGTACTTTAAAAACATTAAGAAAAAGTGTATACTGATTTAATTAGCAACTGGTACAAATAATAGAGTAGTTATTACTAGAAATATTATAAAAAATTCTGAACAAAAAGTATTATACAGCTACATAGCTGTCTGTATAATTATTTTTATCATGTGTATTATAAATATTTTCTGTTTTATATTATATATTTTGATGAACACAAGAAATCTAAGTAATTAATATTTTTTAATGTATATTATATTTTAAATTATTTTTTAAGAAGTAAATTTAATATCAACCAATATAAACAAATTGTATTATATTATAAATAATAGGTATGAAAATTTGTATATTTTTTTACTGATTTATTTTTGTTAAAATAACAATAAAACATTTGCGATAAATACACTCTTGAGCTTAATAGATTTCTGGGTTCTATAAGTGATGAATAAAAATAATGTAATATATTAAAATACCTAATAATATATTTATGTTTTATAATTTTTAAATATTTTATTACTGTCAAAATAATGATTTATAATAATTAAGCAATGAAAAATAAATTAAAATATCTATCGCAACTAATTGATGAGCACTGGAAATTCTATCCTCTGTATTGAAATTTATAGTTTCAATTATTTAACACATTTAAACATATTTGCATAGGCGTTAATCACCCAATACATTTTAGAGGTGGCAAAGCTGTGATGTGTTTACTCTTCACACTCCTCGCATATTTTTACTCCTCTTTATATCTGCAACATTTGATATCCTATTAATAAAATAAAATAAATTAAAGTTTTTTATAATTAGAATTCTTAATAAAATGCATTCTTTATAATTTTTTATTGTAAAACAAAACTTTCTTAATATGAAGTTTGATTTTGGTACAATCGAATTCAATTTATAATCTTTTTTTGCATTTTATGAATTTTTTTAATTGTATGTATTTTTTACTCTTTATTGGGCAATTTTTTTTTTAACTTTTAATGATAATTTTACAAATCCCATTTATTAAAAACTGATCACATTTTATTAATTTTTAGTTATTGTCTTATATATTTGTGTAATTGGTTAAAATAATTTATAACATATTTTTTTTTTTTTTTACAGCTTGATATATATTTATGCGTTTTATATTATGAATTTCAAATTAATTTTTAGTATATATTATGTATACCTAGTGAGTTTTAAAGTGAAACTGTTGAGATTTCAAAATCATTTTTTAAGTTTTTTTACTGAATTAATTTCACAGCCATAATTTATTGCAAAAATGTTTTGCAAATAAAATTAAGTTGTTTTTTAAAAGTTATATAATATGTAGTATGTACACTGTACAGTGATACTTAAAACAAAGACTCCGTGGCCATAAGCAACAAACAAAAAATTTTTATTATGGAGACTCATAAAATAGAATGAAATACAATTGATTCTCAAAAATGTTTAGTTAAACAGAACATTAAAAGTTCATAATATGAAAGTTTCACTGAAATTATACTGGACACTTATTTCTCAAATAGTTTCATTATTAAGGATAGGTATCCATATCTACCCATATCTCTTTGTATGTGGATAGTTGAAAAGTCCAATAGTCTATCTTGACCCATAACAGTGGTACACTGATAAGTGTCAAAGATTTTAATTATTGTTATTTAAGATAATTACGAGATTCAGGGTGCTACTACTCTACTCCGTTCCAAGAGAGAGTGCGACCGCCAAGCGCATCCAAATTCCAGCGCTCCACCGTCTCGAGGCCAAATTTCCCTCGCCATGTGGCGTCCGGTTTCTGTACACAGCAGCTCAAGTAAGGAACCACAAATATTACTGCGATTAATCATTAAAATATAATATATCAGTATAGGAGATATTTTTATGAAATAAGTAGAATTAATTTTAAATTATTATTTTTTATTCTTAAAACTATCATAAAATAAAGGTATTATATTTTGTCACGTGTAATTTAAAATAGAAAATATCCATAAATAAATAATTTAAATGTTTTCGTCGTCGGAATCTGAAGTAGTGTCGCCTAGATGCTCTCCTATTTCCAGGTCAAAAATCTCGTCAGATAGATCATCAACTGTCCAGAATTTGTCCTCTTCTTTTGTTACATGATCAATAAAATTCGTCCACATTTCGCTTGTTACGTGTTCCACAGCATCTTTTAATAAATTATGTACATCCTCTAATTTAAATGTCGTATTGTTCATAAGTACATAATTTTTTACCCAGGACCAAGCGATTTCAATAGGGTTCAGCTCAGAGTGGTAGGGAGGCAACCGTAAGACTATTTTATTATGATCTCTTGCTACTTCATCTATCACATACTTGTCGTACAGCGGTTTAAGCTCGTTGGCGATTTCTAAAAGCTGAGGTTTAATCAATGATGGCGGAACTATTTTACCTTTATTTTCTAACCAATCTATAATTTTTTGTTTATTCCAAGTCATAGTTGGAAATGGGTATTTTTTTACAGAATTGTATGAGGCATTATCCATCACTATTACGGCTTTTTCTTTTAGAGATGGTAGGATTTTTATGAACCAGTTGTAAAATATGTCCCCATTCAACTCATCATGAGAGTCTAATGTGTTCTTCTTTGACTCGATAGATAAAAGACCACCAGGAAGGAACCCGTCAGCTGACCCGATGTGTAATACAATTAATCGTTTGCCCTTACCTGATGGTTCTTTTTGTCCAGTAGTGCGTTCTCGAACGAATGCGTTCTTGGGTGAATTTATTATTGTGTCGACCCATGACTTTGTGGTAGTTTCACCTGCGTCCACCCAGGATTCACCAAGGTAGTATATCGGTCTACCATTCAGCCTATAATGTATTATTGATTCCATATATTTCCGACGCCAACACACGACATCATTTCGTTCAATAAGTACATTATTCCGATTTTTTTTCAAATATTCATAATTAAGGTGTTTTAAAATTCTGCGTAATGAGGACTTTGAAAAATTTGGCACATTCTCATCTTTGTTTACAGCCACAAAAACTTTATTTAAAGTAGGTATTTCACGATTTAACCAAAAGCTATGAACTTTCTGTCTAATGTTGTTTTGGCCAAAATCTTCTGATTTTTCTATCACTGTCTTCCTCTTTTTTGTTTTATTTGGCGATGAAATCGTACCTTTAGTTTTGTATTCTGCCAGTGTACATCCCACTGTTCTTAGACCAACACCACTCGTTTTTGAGATTGTTTTGATGATGTCCTTATACTTCATTTTTTGACTATCTTCTTTGTTCTGTTGCTCCAACATTAAATTTTTATAGAAATTGACAATTATTTGCTTTTGTCGAACACCGACAAACTAAAAAAAAAAAACCAAGAATTAAAAACATTTAAAAATTTAAAAATTAAAAAATAAAAAAATAAAAAAAATAGAATGTTTTGAATAATATCTGATAGCGAGATCATGTATTTTATATAGTAATTTAAATAAAGTAATTTATATATAACCTATCAACTATTTAACCTGGAACCTTTTTTTAAATTTTCAATCCTTACATATTAAATAATTTGAATATTTTATACATTTTTAACTACAAAATAATGATTAAATTTTCAATTTGATAAATTTTGTCAAAAATCAAACTTAAAATGCTCATAAAAATAAATGTGTGCATACCTATGTATTTTGAATATTTTTAACCTGCCGTTGTAACAATATATTAGGAGCCTTGTATTACATTTTCAAGATTTTTTACCCAATAAATAAAATTTTATTGACATTCATAGAAAAAAATTTAAAAAATTGGAAACTGTAAATGTCCGTATATAGTTCAAAACAAATCAAAATATTTTGAAAATTGTATCGTGTATAGAAAATGCAATTATAAACAACCAGTGAAAATTTCATATTTCTATGGTCATTTGTTTTAGAGTTACACCAGAAAACCAAAATCGATTTTGTTGAAAACCGATTTGGTAGTGTCCATAGACAATAGACATATATTATACAACAACTAGATAGCCGTCTTTATACTACAGTTGTGACCAATGTTGAAATAGGCCGCCATTCATAAAGCAGGCAATGTTTAGATTTATTTATATACATATATATTTATCTATACATAATATATACTGTGATAATATTATTTTGTAAACATTGCCTGCTTTGTAAATGCCGAATTCAATGACAAGAAGGAGACGGCTATCTAAAAGGAAGTACGATACTTAATTACCGACATTACCAAAAATTAAAGCATAAAAAACGAAATATTTTCAAAAAAAAATGTGTATAACATTATTTTATATAAATATTTACTTTTCCAGGAGGATTCTTTTTGACAGGTGAAATATCGCGTTCCATTATGAATAGTTCGATATGTTATTGAATACGTCTTAATAGTATCTACCTATTTAAAATGAAATAAAAAAAATGGCAATTTGAAAACCGTATTAGGTGTAACAGCCAACAGGTAACACGTTGAACCGCACTGAAATTCTGAAATTGAAAAACAAACAGGTAACAATGTTTAATCAATAAAATACTGATTTGTGATTACAGTGATAACACCAGTAACCGCGTTGTATATATCCTATAGTCGTATATTCTATTATGTCTATGATATATCCCAAGGTAGATGTCCACCTTGATATATCTTATGACTTATAATATCCTTATACCTATCTCTTATATTATAAAACACCGTTTTTCTCGGCGAGGATAGACGACTTTCGTGTCGTTTTGCCGGCCCGGTCAATAGGAACGTTCCGACTCGGCGGCGCGCAATAACCGCGTTATCACATTTTTTCTTATCATTTCGCAGATTTTTGAAATTTTCGAAAATTTACTCTTTTCCCACGATTTCGATCGTTTTCGAACCTTTTCGCAGATTCTTATACTCGATTCTCGTAGCTCTCGATCTCTCGAAGCCGCCGGTGGGCGGTTTACATTCGTGCGCCTTCCGTAGCCGTCGCAATGTCGATAGCAAAATACGTTCGCCGCCCGACTTTTTTGTCGATTTTTTTCGTTTTCTCCGACAGTTTCGTCTCTTCGCACGCCGTTCGTACCCGAATCGTGTAGTTGACGTCTTTTGAAAGCCGTCTATATGCGCTTTTTCCTCGAAATCGGTTCGTTCACCTCGCAATCGCGTTTAGAAATACATGTATATGCTATATGTACGCGTATATATACATGTATATACCTACGTGTATAACAGTACGATTTTTGCCCACCATGAATGATTTAATAACTATTGACGGAAAACGCTTTTCACACGCCCCGTTACATATATATATATATATATATATGGGAAATGAGCGTATTACAAGCGAATTAAATGAGATTACATCGATGATCATCGAATATTCGAATATATCTATTTATGTCACTCCGTAGATGCACAGCTTAATAAGTGTTAATGTTTTGAACGTATTCCGCGACACAAACCGTGTCCGAGTAGGTTGGGCGGTAGGTAGGAAATTTATAGGTCCCGGCGATAGCGTCAGTGCCGTATGGTTTACGCGGCCGCCCGAAATCTGAAATTATTATTTTTCGATTTTTTTTACGTATAATCTTACAAATTTTCGATCTTTTCTCTTTATTATTATTGTTATTATATACAACTTATAACTTTACTTTGTGTATGTAATTTTTTTTTTTATTATTCTACCATATTTCATCAATTGTATCTACTATAGGTACATAGATTTTTTTTTCGTATGTAAACATTTTTTAAATTATTATAATTATTATAACAATAAAGATTTTAGCGTTTAATGATATTATGTTGGTCAATATTGTTAATATTACATTCTATATTTCTATGAATCAATATAATATGCTCGATGTACCTATTGATGACCTTTTATTGAATGTCTTATAATATATATAGGTATTTATTAAAATTATTAATGATTTAACTTTTATATAAATGGTGTATTACTGACTATACTGTGTTATGACTTATGCATAGTATGCGTTATGCATTATGTATATAGTACAGTAATATTAAATATATAAAGTAGGTAAGCATAGTATAATATGCATATATATATATATTATATGAATTAATATTTGTTAGTTTGTAAATGCTTATTGTAGTTCAATATAGTTACACTAAAAGTACCTACCTATATAATATTAGTTTAAAAGTATATAATATTAAAAATTAACAAATATTTAAAAAATTGTGATTATTCAAATCCGTTTGGATGCAACTTGCAACAGGAAATGCAATTCAGCCACCCTGGTACAATTTGCAACGGTACATCAAGTATTAAATCCATCTATGGTGGATTGCGGACACCACCATGAGCGGCTACAAGTGATAGGCAATATGCGACAATCCGATTTGATAAAAATATAAATAATAATACGTCATTAATAACAATAATAATTTAACTAACGATTAACAAATGGCAACCAATAATTATTATTATTATAGCTTTACAACCCATAGCAATAAATAAACAAAAATTTCCATCGTAAATCTCTAAATCCCCGTTTGAGCACCTCTACAGGTTGGACCTATGGGCAGTCCCTAAAATTGTGTGTAGTACGACACACTTTGTGTAGTACGAAAAGTGCATTGTGTAGTACGAAGTTTAAAAGTGTGTTATTCTAATTAAACCTTTATAATAATATTACGTATAATTTTATATCTACATTTTTTTTTGTATTTTAATGGTTTTTTGTCAAACCACATTTTAATTATTAACACAGACACACAGTAAACAATATTTTGTGTTGTTACGTCTTATACTCTTATTATAATTATTATTATTCATTGCTATTGAGAGCACTATTTTTACTATAATCAGCTTAGAAGTGAACGGTGGAATATAGTAGGTATACTATAGTGTTTATATAGAATTAAATTAGATTTGACCGATTTAGGACTATGTGTGTAGTACGAAAATTTGGATATTTTAGGGACTGCATATGGGTATGAAAAATAGTTTAATTCGCCCTCTCAGACCTACTGAATATGATTTGCCTAATAAATAACCCCAGAAAAAATAACCCCGGAAAAAATAACCCCGAAAAAAAAACCCCCGAAAAAATAACCCCGTGAAAAAATAACCACGGAAAAAATAACCAAAATAACTATAATAAAATTGATTTGTAAGGTTGTACATGCAGGCCTAAAACAAATTGTCAAATTTTTAAAAATATTCACCATAAATGGGTAGGTAATACAATACAATTTCAATAATATAATAATAATTTAAAACAAATTGTCAAACGTTTTTAATCTCTATTGAGCAGTTTTTGATTTAGAACATTTAGTTTTGGACTCTCCTACAGTTTGCAAAGCAAGTTTTGCACGGTCAGCCGACAGTTCATTTTTTATTTTATTGATTAATGTCCAAATCGATGGATGTTGTACTCCGACTAAATGTTTATATTTGCATTTTCTATACACGATAACATTTTCAAAATATTTTGATTTATTTTGAACTGTTTAGGGACATTTTCATTTTCCATTTTTTTTTAGTTTTTTTTCTAAAAATATCAATAAAATTTTATTTGTTGGTTGCAAAAGCTTGAAAATTTAATAGAAGGCTCCTAATATATTGTTTCAAAGGCAGATGAAAAATATTAAAAATCCTTAGGCACAGTTTTTTTTTATAAGCATTTAAAGATCAAATGTTGACAAAATTTATCAAAATCTCGAAAACTATCAATCATTGTAATTAATAAATTATAAAATATTCAGTTTTTATAGCTTTTTATAGCTCTAAATTTCATAAACACACTTCAAACCGTTATTTAGATATTAACGTCCGAAAATCGTCATTTTTATCACTGACTTACCTATAGATCAAAATTCTAACCCAGTTCCAGATGACCTAGAAAGTTGAAATTTGGCATACAGATAGGTAGTTAGGTAAATACAAAGGAAAAAATCAGAAACTTGAAAATTTTTAATTTAAAATTTTTTAATTTTTAATTTTTAATTTTTTAATCAATTGATTTTATTATAATTTTGCAATTATTTTATCTATTATGTTTAATTTTTCAATTTATTAATGAATTGCCTCTAATTTAATGTAATGTAATGTAATTTTGACTTATAACCTTTCCCGTATCGCCGCTCCAAAAATACGACTAGCCGAATATGTGTCGATATTGTCGACCCGCGCGCAGCAACATACTTTTTTTTCTATCTATGTAGGTATGTAATTAATATTATTTTTTTTAAATATTACAATTAAAATAATTAAATAATTATTCTTACAAATTATGAATTATCCACCCAACAGTAGAAACTACAGTCAATAAAATTATGATAATTAAAAATATACTCAAAAAGAATTAAAATAATTGTATATTAATTTTACATATATTTTATACTCTGTATATACAACGACAAATATTTTATAATAAATATTATTATTAATATTAGTAACTAAATTATATTATATAGTAATAAACTTTATTTATAGAATACGTCATGGCTAGACAGGGGGGGTTTGGGAGGTCAGCTGACCCACAGTTGTTTTCCCAGTTAAATGTGGCCCCTCGAAATGGCAAACTATATATAAACATTTTTTTATTTGAAAAAATTATGTACAGTGGTGAATTTAGAGGAGAGGCACGTGCCCCTTGTCAATTTTCTGTCGACAAGTTGTTATGTAACTACGAGTATCATATAAATGAAACATACAGTTGATAAGGATAATACTACCAACTATTAATTATTACTTATTATAATCATTATTGATAGTATGTATGTATTATTAATTAAAATTAAAATTATACAATTTATATATGCCCCCCCTTCAAAATATCGAAGATCTGCTATTATGATATAGGGGTATATCGTATATACAGCTGTGAAGACTGAGTATTGAAGTAAAATAACGCGTACGAAATCGTGTTTAAGCTTATCAACTTATAATGTACGTACCTAAAATTCGATAAACACAAGTATAAAAATATGTTGGATATAGATATTATATAAGATTTTATGAAGTTGACATAGATGAAATTGATATAGAAGTGGAATACCGTTCATCTAGTTTACCAACAAATGGCAAAACTATTGAAACTGGAGTAACTGGACCTTTAAAATTAAATGATGTATTGAAAATTCATGATATCACGAGACATGGTTTCTTCATATCCAAATTTATATACTTTGTATACAATTTTTTATACACTATACCAGTCAGCAGTGAAACTGCAGACAGAAGTTTTAGGCGTTTTAGCGTTCTAAAACTTCTCAAAACATGCCTTAGCTCGACTATGACTGAAGACCGGCTATCAAATTTGGCCATATTGAGCATAGAAAGCAACATAGCTCAAACCATTGATTTTGTTAACGTAATAAGTACATAATTCGCACTAATGAAAAAGCG